CCGCCCCCCCCAAAATTGGGCATCCACCCTCTGCTGTGCCGGGTCGGACTCTGCCCAGCAGCTTCTCCTCCCCCCGCCCCAGCCAGAGCAGTTCTTCCTCCCCTGGTGAAAAAATCTGATTTCCCTGAGAAAGCTCCTTCCACCTAAATATAAGCATTTCCAAGAGCATCCTCCTTGTATTTAAGCAGATACCTGGGCTCATCACTGCATACTACAAACTGTGACAGTTTCTGTGTGAATATTTTTAACTGTGTTTGTGGTACCTGTATTTATATTTATGTTTAGCACTGTAATGTTCCACAGTATAAAGTGAATGGAGTTCTATAGCAGTAGAAAAGGAAAAAAAAAATAATAATAATAATAATAAAATCTTGTGTTACACCCTCTCATGTATAAAGGTCATGTCCAGAGGACTATGTTGAGTATTTAATAAAAACTGAATATTATTTTTAAAGTTTATAGAATGGCCTCTGAGCTTCAGTTGAAACCTTTTCGTGTTGATAACAGCCTGTTAGAAAGTTCACTTATCTTCTGTGTGTTGTTCCTGAAAATCAGCTCCCTCTCGCCTTTTTCTCCCTCCTTCGTACCTCTCTCATTGAAGAGTATTCCAAAAAAAAAAAAAAAACCAACAAAGGGGGGGGAAATTACATTTTGCTTTGTCTCCTTGAATTAGTCTTGTTACTGTATTGTTCGGTGGCATCAGGAATCTATGCCATACCTCTCGCTTCGTGATTAAAAATGGATTTCTAAAGTTCAAAACAGTATATATTTCTTATTGCACCCTCCTCAGTCAAACACCAGGTCAAAGGTTCCGCTTCTTTTTTATTATTATTTTGATTTAATTTGAGCTCGACACAGCTGAGAATCCCCCAGCTCGGCGGAAGGACCCACTTCTCCCCCCCCCTCTCCTCCCTCCCCGCCTCCTCCTCGACTTATTTCGACCCAATAAACCTTTCTAGGGAGGGGGGGGAAAGTCACTTTTATCCAGAAACTCATCCTTAGGAGGACGAAAACTGTGGATATAACGCTTGGGAAACAAAACCCTGCTGCTGTGGACCGCAGGATCGGATAAACCATTGCGAAGGATGGATGAGAAAAAAAAAAAACAAAAAACACAACACCAAAACCAAAACACAACTGCATTTTTTCTCGCCTCTTTGTCACTGCTCTAATATTTGCTGGGCTGTTCAGGAGGTAGCACTTAGTCAGGGATGATATTTCCCTGGAAGAAGCTTAGTCGCCTTCAAGGTGTGTGTGTGTGGGTTTTTTTTGTTGGGTTTTTTTTGGTGTTTTTTTTTTTTTATGAAACAACCAGGATTCGGTGTTAAGTGACCATAAGCAGCAGGAGAGAAAAAAAAAAAAAAGCAGCCTGGGGAGGTTTTTTTTCAGCCCATCCTTTGCTCGTCTCCAGCCTGGAATGTGCAGGCGATTTTTACAAGGCGCAGGAAAGACGTGGAAAAAAAAAAAAAAAAAAGAAAAGAAAGAAAAAAGATACATAAATCTCTCTTAAAACGAAAGAAAACAAGCAAACAACACCAACGACCAGGAGCCAAGAGCGTTTTGCAAGAGGGTGACGACCTGGCCGTGAAGCAGGAGGCTCCTTGGGTGTAAACCAGTTTGAATTTCCAAAAAAAAAAAAAAGAAAAAAGAAAAAGAAAACCCCACCAAGCCAAAAAAGGACCAAAAAACCCCAAATCCAACAAACTCCAAAACAACCCAAATATATATCCACAACCACACATATATAATTCAGCGCCTATAGAGAGGATGAAGGCGATATGTAACACCCAACGCATTCAAGGCATTCTCTGGCTGATTGAATGGAGACGGAATAGAAAGAAAACGTGCTCAGGTCTGGAAGGCAAAGCCCGAAACGGGCTGGAAAGGAGGGGGGGGAACTGGGAGCTGCCTGCC